TGTAGACGTCCTCCCCCCGGGAACGATTCCTTCCGTTGCCTCGTGGACTGTCATACGATTGCTTCGACTGAGAGAAAAAAAAAAGTGGGCCGCGTAAATTATTCTCTCGCAGTGTATTCACCATTTCACTTGATGGCCCACGACGAACAAGAGAGAACCGGATTGCAATATACCATAGCAAACAGACGATTCATGTTGGGTGGCATAAGGGAATATATTAACTGCTATAATTAGGCGATCATACTTCATGCTCTCAGACAGAAGAAACTAACAAACCCCATGCCAATTAACGCTTTGTGTCAGCTTGACTATTTGTTACTTGCTGTTGACTACTGAATTAAAACTTGAACTGAACAAGCTCGGACACCATAACTCTAGAAACTTCACGCGCGTTTGAAATTGAATAACAGCTGAACGAGATAAACATTAATGAGGTGTATCCACCCCGTTTCCTCTCAGACAAAAACAACGGCACACCGAATTTTGTTGTTGAACTTGAGTACGCCATAAAGCAGTGCAATTCTTTATGTCGTGATGTTTATAGTATCCATTTATTATCAAACGTTTTAGGCTTTTGTTTAGCGCGATTCGTCACCACAGAGCTATCAGAGCGTGAGAGGTACACGAGAAATTTACTTAGCTATATTTTGGACAAGAAAAGATTGTTACATTTAGTTTCGACTTTTTCACGACAGAAATCTCGTCTCGAAGAAACAGTGTTTGCAAGTACATTTGTTCAGTGGGTCATCATCACCATCAACTTTATTTAAGTGTCGGGGGTATTTAGCTAGGTGGCTAATTGGAGACTGTTCGAAATTCTAATAATTAAGATGTATAGTATGACTATAGATACGATAAAAAAAAACTGTGGCAATTATCCTTAAAAAACTGTGTAAATACAACCTAGTAGATCAATTAAGATATCTATATAAATATATATATAAAACAAATCAATAAAGGAAAGAGAAAGTTAAAAGTAAATTATAATCGACATTAATATACAACCAAGGCCAGGAACCCGTGGAAAGCTGCTCAATGCGATAAATTCGACCATTAAATTCATCTGTACCAGTGTTCGTAATTTTTTTTTCGAGACCGTTTAGTGTGAAAGAGTCGAGGTTTGCCCAGTTTACAGGTGAGTTGTGGCATTTTTTGGTTGCTTTGATCGCTTT